CATGCCAAATGCCACAGTTGCAACAACCTTCCGACAAAACAAATGTTGATTAAATTTGGAAAAAAAAAAGAAAGTCAATTATTTCAAAAAGGAATATTTCTGAATTTGAACATATAGCCAGGATGAAGTGGAATAATTTCTCACCACTCTAATCTTGTTAGAACAAAACAAGTCCTGTATATGGTTCCGATCCTTAGTGGTAAGACCACTGTGGTAACTCTGCATAAGCATTCATAGTAGCATCATTCGATCATCATTTAGAAATATGAAAATGATAATTACAAAATCATTTATAAAGCAACTGAAACATGAAATCCAAACCTTTGCAGAGATATTGCTATCACACAAGTATCTGCTTATCATGTCAGTTTCATACTGCATAGCCAACATGCAACTACCTCGTTACCAACCAATTCGAGAAAAAATAAATAAATAAAAAAGAAACAAACGTAGCCTGTCCAAGAGTGACATGGCAAACAATTACAATACAACTAGCTAGCTAATCAGGGCTGTACAACAATTTTAAACAAAAAAGATTCAAATTAAGAAGCCTTCAAATCATAAGATAAACACATTTACCTGAAATTTGCAATATATGATGATGCTTTGAACTTCATTAAAGGGACAAGACTTTATCAACATCAGCAGATCTTTCATTCTATTAAATTCAACATATGACTTAATCACACTCTTGCAAAGACATGAAAGCAATAGGAAAACAAAGAAGAAAAACAGAAAGAATTCATTATTCATGCCTGTTTCCACTTAAAGAGACTGACAACTGTAAGTTGTTCCTCAGTTGGGTTTCCTGAATGAGATTGCTTGAAGGAATCTCTAGAGCAGACATTACAGCCTGCAATGTTGCAGCTGTTGCAGTAGCAGTCATTGCAAGAATGCATTCAGCATTAAGCTTGGCACGAATCAAAGATGCCCTTATCCTCGTGTATGAAGGTCGGAAGTTATGGGACCTGTTAAAATATTCAAATTCTGCGGGAGGTTAGCGAGAATAACATGCAATAGACTGCAAAACAAACACCAAGGAGGTGTAAGAGATGAAATTCAACTCACCATTCCGATATACAATGAGCCTCGTCCACTACAACGAGAGATAGAAGGGAAGTAACAGAAAAAAGTGACAAAAAGTCCTTATTCAAGAACCTTTCTGGTGATACAAAAAGCACCTGGAATATATGAATTCCAGAACCTTAGCTTCTAGCGCCCATAAATCTTGTAAACCAAATCCAAACTTAGGATAGTTACTAGGCCCAAAAAAAAAACAATAAAAAATTCTAAGCTAGTAAGAAATTAAAATGGAAACTTGAATGGAATATTAACAGGAAAAGGTTATGGATTTAGTCACCACCTTTATGGTCCCCTCATGAACCTGCCTCAGTGTCTCAGCAACCTCTTCGGGTTTCTAACACAGCGAAACAAAACAGCCTTTTAAGAATATCATCAGAATGTGAAAATAAGCTGAGATAAACCACGAAAGAGGGCATCATCAATCCTCTACCTGGCTGCTGCTCAAAAGGCCGCCAGGAATCACAGCAGGGAGCTGCTTCAACTGGTCGATCATTAACGCCAACAGAGGGCTGACAACCAGCGTGATCCCCGGCAAAATCATGGCTGGAATCTGATAGCACAGCGACTTCCCCGCACCCGTGGGTAAAACCAGCACCGTCGATCTCCCCGAGAGAACCATCTTGATCGCCTCCATCTGCCCGCCGCGAAACGAATGATGACCGTACACTACGTTCAGCAACCTCACCAGATTATCATCGGACGGCTCGTCTCGCGCCGCCGAGACTGCCTTCTGCAACAGACGAACGCTTCGCTCTTCCCTCTTCTTCTTCGGTTGCGGGATTTCTCCAGCAAACCCATCTTCGCCACAAATGCTCTCCGTCTCAATTCCGCTCTCGGCTTTTGCTTTTCTCTTGCTCCTCGTTTTTCTGTAGGCATAATTGTTTTGGCTTTTGGTTCTGCCTTTGCACTTGCTAGGATACTTGCCCCGTCTTTTCCCATTCAGTTGAAGCTTCACGAAATTACCTTCACTTGCGCCGGAGCAGTTTCGAATTTTGACAGGCGGGTCAGCCAAGCTGCTGCCGATCAAATTAGGGTGCTGCCTCCGGCGGACTTTGAGCGGGTTTGGGCGAACCGGACGGGGTTCCGAGCGGTCGATAACGATTTCGGGTCGGGGCAGCGGTAGCGGGGCGTCGTTTTCGAAAGTGAGAGAGTGTTTGCGAAGTTTGGAGAAGGAAGGGACCTTGGAGAAAAAGCCGGGGGGAAGGGTTTGGAGGGAATCGCCGGTAGGGACGAGACGGGACTGATCAGAGGGGCGGCGGATCTGGAAAGGCAGGGATGAGGGCAGAGCAGAAGGAATTGGGGGCGGGTTAAGGGGTTTTGGAGCGGGGTGAGGAGATGACGTTATGGGTAATGGCAGTGGCGTTGGAGGAGGAGGAAGAAGATTTGATTGTCTCGGAGGAGTGGCGGAGACGTGAGAACCATCAGAGTCTGAATCGGAATCCATGGAGAATTTCCAGAGCTAAAAGGATACGAGAAAGAGACTGAACTGGTATAAGCTTTGGCTCTTTCATAATTTTCCCGCCAAAATTTTGGAGGTTTTTCTTCACTCTCATAATATTTTTAACGAGAAATTTTATAAATAAATGAGAAAGTTGGACAGGAAATGAAAAAATTTAGACCGTTTCTCGTACATGTCATTTTTGCGCAGGAAACGTACCAATCTTCTCTGCATCGTTCCAATTTGATAGGACGCGCCGCGAAGGGGCAAAGAATATATAAACCGTTCTAATTACTATTCTCTGAGAGATGTGGGATAGACGTTGCTGGCAACCTCTCAACAAGGTTTTGCTACAGACTGTTTCTCATCCCTGAGTGCCACATAAAAATAATATACATGCTATTGTGTCTACTTTTTGCATTAAAATGTATTTTTTGGCTATATTATTCTGCATATGCCATGGCTCCATAGAATAATTACAGAGTATTAATCAGTATAATTTCTTAAAAACGCACACAATTATTTGTAATTAACTTTTTATATTTTTTTAATTAAACAGTTATTCTATAATACTTGGTTCTTATATTGAACAATTGAATATCTAGTCTCTAATTAATAGAAATCTTTTGAAACATAATTAATATAAAGTTTTATTAATTTGTCAAACAAAATAAAATTGTTGATTTTTCATACATATCGTGTTGATCAATTAATAGATATACACATATAGATGTATTATGTGCATGCATTTTGGTTTTATTTGACAATTAAGACATAAGTTCTATTCCATATATCTAATTCTAACAATAGCTTATCGTATATATAAATATACATATATGTCTGCATCATTAACAAAAATACGCCCATTGTCAGGATTACTATAATTTTCATTACATAAGAAACTAATACAAATTAGAGTGTAACTCTCTAAAATCAAGATACATTATCTCCTTAACGAACACGAAATATAAAATACATACATTTATTAATTATTTTATGTACATAGATCAATTATAATATAATACAAATAACCTTTAAATAAAAATATATATAAGAGTACAATTTGACTCAAATCTATAATCTCTTATAGAGAAATAGATATATCAACTATTAAACTAAAAATAAAATATAAAATGTATAGATTTATCAATTAGTTGATATACGTACACTAATCATGATTGAATACAAATAATCTTCAAATAAGAATACACATAGGAGTGCAGTTTGATCTAAATCTACAACTTCTTATAGAGGAAGAGACGTATCAACCGTTAAAGTAAATAGTTGTTTGTAAGATTGCATTTTTTTTGTTTGATAATTGTTTATTATATTATCATATTTGGTTGCACATAAACTAAACTTTGATGTTTATTGTTAAGGATTTTTATATATAGATCAGTGTTTTTCAATTTTTATATATTAGTAACGATTAAAAACTATACTTAATTTTGTAGTGTAGACGACACACATTTTTTTTTCATAAGGATGACAGAGAATCAGTTGAGATATTAAAATTTTAATATTTTTAAGAAAATTAAATATCTAACTAAACTCTTTATTTTGCTGTTTATGTCGAAAGAAAAAAATGTATACAAATTTTCTCATATACATTCAATAGTCTTTTTTCAATACGAATTAAAGCAAGATAGTAAGTAAAAAGTCCCCATTTACGAATGAGTATAACATAGATGAGGTCGATCTTTCATGATGTTTAACTGATTAGTTGTTGGGTGCTAGGAACCGAGTTGTGTAACCCTGTTGCATTATTATGTTCAAACAGTTTGCTTTCAGGCATGTTGATCGGGATCTTGGAGGGCAATGGTAACTTATACAAAAATGGATAAAAAGGTCAAATTCACATATAGATGATGGAAATTTTAATTTTTTGGAGTAGAAGTTAATATGTTTTGGTAAGAGGAAACAAGTTAACACCTTGGATTTGGGTGGATAAGGAACGAGGTAGAGAGTAGTGGATGGTGGAGTTAAAAAAAAAAATGAATAGGATATTTAAAGAGTTTGTGGGTGCTTTTGTCCCACACAGAGTGGGAGAGAGGTTGGTAATGATAAAAGGACAATAGAAAAAAGGGATCGGAGAAAAAAACAACTCATACCTTTCTCGGCCTTTTGGCTAAGATCAAGTGTAGTATCTGTTCTTATCAGTTTAATATCTGATACGTGAGTCATTGATTCACATGATATTAAATTAATTTTTTTAGGGGGAATAACTGTCATAATAGCTTGCTATTGGGTTCTTCAGAGTCTTGTTTATGTGTTTCTGCACAGCAAGGACCTGGCCTACCCCACCAACTTTAGTAAGAAAATTTTTTTTTCCATAGGATATGATATTTTAAAATTATATTTACTATTTATTTAAATTCTAGAATATGAAAATAAAGAC